CCACACCCCCATCACCACCCGTCCCACCCGTCCCCCCATGATCATCTGTTCTGTTGTGTCATTGGATCAGCTGGGTACTCCATTTTTAGGAGAGCCCTTGTGGAGATGGAACTGTTGGGGCAGCTACACCACCCGACCAGGAACCCCAACCCTCGACTGTAAACATGGTGACCAGCTTCATCCCTCAAGGGGCTGTCAGCATTGACTTTGCACTTTTCTTACTTGTGGTTACGATGGGTACATGCTTAACATACCACGGCACAAAAAAAAAAAAAATACCAAATTGTATGGAATGTATTCCTAGAATTATTATCCCCATTAATATTCAAAAATTGAAAGTTGTTTTATTGAGGAGGAAGTTGAGGGTTCGGCCCATTGAGGTAAAGCAGCTCTCATGGAAGCCTCTATTTTCTGTATAATCCCCAATTTGGACCACAGGGAATCTTTACCTGCAAGCGACTGAAGCCGCCGTCCTCAACTTTCCCCCTCAGTGACTCAACCTCCTCCTGGCCTGTATGGAAGTGCAAGTGTTTGCGACACCTGTTACCAATGGATACCGGCGTGTCCGCTGCAATCCCACGAACCATGTTATCTGTAGCTTTTTGGGGAAGGCCAGAGGACCTGTCAGCCCCTCCCCCAATACCCCCTCGTCAATTTAAAGAATGTTTAAATTCACAATCAAGTTCCTGTGCTTGCCCTCTTTTCCTTCACCATACGATCTCCTGTTTCGCCAAATTTCAAAGTGTAGCAAAGAGGGAGGGGGGCCAATTCGATCCAAATCTGTTAGAATTGACATTGAATGCACTTTGACGTTAGATTGTGTGGGATGTATACTTTTTTTTTTCTTTTTTAAATCGCCTGCATTCCATCCATTCGAATGTCAACTTTCACACCATTTTTTCCCCCTCGCCCTCCATATCTGTTTTTGTTCATACTGTAGCTCTCCGGTTGGACTAGACGGCTGTCTGTTCGGCGGGGAGTGCGAGACTCTGGATTTCATGTTTTTTTGGTTTTTTTAACACTGTATTTGTGAACATTTCAGAGCTTTTCTTGAAGATGGAGGTTGTTTGTTGGTGGTAGGCGAGAAGCCGCGGTGTTCTCGTGGCACTGTTCACGGAGCTGATGGGTTTGATCCCGAGGGTCTGGACTAAGTGATGGGGGCACGGAGCACTGACTGTCAGATGTTCATTTTTGACTTGAACTTTGAAAGCGACACCAGGCCTTGTCAGCCTGTGACTTCACTGGTTCTCAGTGATCTCCAAGGGCCCTTACTTTTTCAAAGGGAAGTCCTTTTATAAGCTTTGGAGGTGCATTTTGCCTTACCTCCTCTCATGATTATGAGCCATTAAGTGATTTCCAAGTGATCACCGGACAACCTGGTGGTCCAGACTGCCCTCACACACAAACAGCCTGGCAGCTTCGCCCTCCCCCTCGTCCGACTTCGAGTGCCTCAACTGCCACATATCACCCCCCGCCCTACACACACACCCACACACCCACCAGCCTCAGACCTCCCTTTCAGCCAAAAGCAACGCCAGCACTGCTAGCCTGATAGCACCGCCCTAACCACGCTAGTGCAGGTCGACTTAATGTGACACATATCACCGTCCATCACCCACGTTGGGATCGGTGAAGGAACGCCGGGACGTGGGGGTTTCTGCTTTGTGATAAAGGAGCAGGGCAGGGCCAGGGCCGGACTCGTGTCCAGGGCAGCTAAAATCCCTCTGGCCTTCCCTGCTCCAAACGTGTTCAGCATCCCCCACCCCGATGCCTTCAGCACTTCCTCACAGTGACGGATAAACAAACCAGCACACACACACACACACAGGCACACAAACACACACACAAACGTGGAAGCGGGTGGCGCGGGTTAGCGAGAAACTCGTAAGAAAGAAGATGAATAATTGAGGGTACCACAGCATTGTTGTCTCGTTTTCATCTCACTGGATTGCGCTGCATTTAATTACTGAGTAGCATCATTGTTTACATGCATATGAAAGGATGTGATGGCTGCGCCCACACCCGGTTCTGGGGCTGGGGCTGTATCTGTCACAGCAGGCTTGGTGTTTTTAAGCCCCCCACCCCGCCACCCCACCTAAGCCTGAGAGGATCATGGGTAATGGAGCTCTAGCCTTTGACGCACTGCACCCCCTATTTGCCCCACTCTGCTGATATGCTCGTCAGCACTGCGTGGCATTAAAAAAAAAAAAAAATGTCCCGAAGAAGAGCTGGTTTAGTTTCTTTCCACCACTGCCCCCCCCCCCTTTTCCTATTCATGTCACACATTTTATGGTAGTTGTATTTTACGGTCACACTGGTAGATTCCCCCCTCTCCCCTCCCTGAGATTTTTGTTTTCATCCGTTTGATCGATTTGAAGAGCCAAAATTGGAGAAAAGAACCAAATCCCCTTTGACGCCTTCTCAACCGTTGCCACCAACCAACAAAAAATGGCGGACGTCCTCGGTAGGAGTAACGATTTCAATGGCATCCATTCAGCTCATGCGCACATAGGTTGGAGAATTGTCATAAGAGTGCTTTTGAGTCGAAGAAAAAGAAAAAAAAAGTCAGAGGCAAAATAGCACATGAAATGCACTAAACAAAAAATGTTAAAATGTTTTCTTCTGGAGACGCGAGGAGTCTCTCCTGGAATGTATTGCCAAACTCAGGCCTGGGACATTCAACAAAAGACTCTTAGGAAAAGCTTGTTAAACGTGTTAAGACGTGACACAGAAAGGGAACAGTCAGGTTTTGTTTTTTTTGTTTTTGTTTTTTTTTTTTGCGTATGTGTCAAATTGTCATCAACGAGTTGAAATTATTGCCACTTTCACATTTGACGTGTTTTACATATTGTAGAATGTATCGTAATCGTACAAGCAATGGTAGAGTGCATAACATTACACATGGGAAGTGCCAATAATTTGAGGTTGTTTTTTTTTTCCCCGTCCCTTTCTGGATGTGTTCCTTTTTCGAAGTCATCTTTTAACATGGGTAACGCTTTTTGTAAGTGAAGCCATTTTTGAAGAAAGTGTTGGCAAGGACCAAAGTTGTTTTGGTTTTTTTTCCCCAAAAAATTAGTTTCCTCAAGCTGTAATCATAGACGTACGTATCCTTGGTTTTGTTCATTTTCTTTTCCCTTTTTTTTTCCTTTTTTTCTATTTACGTATAAAAGCAGAAAATAGACAAAAAAAAATCTGATCTTACCCAAGAAGGAAAAGCTTGTGATCTCATGTCATCGTTATCGTGTTCATTTCTTTATTCTTTCCTTGGGTATGTTGCGATGAACTGCTGTAAATTTGTACAGTTCATGTAAATTGATTGTGCGGAAGTTGTACAGATTTCTATATTTTGGAAGAAAAAGTTTTTTTTTTTCTCTGTAATAAAAGATTTCCTATCTTGGCATCATATATCGACGTGAGCTGTCATTATTTTTGGTCTGTTTTGGGACACCATTGAAGACACGTTATTTAAAGTGGGTGGTGCAGTAACATGTTGAAAACAGACTGCAATCCAAATTGGGATGTGACCTTCTCACCGTTTTGGAACTGGGACGTTGGAGATAAGAGGACTTTGTTTTGGCTTTTGTGTTATTCGGAAAATTTCACAAGCTATTTTCTGATTTCCACTGCACTACTAAAAAATTTTTAAAAAACTTTTTTAAGCCAATGAATGGAATTAGAAAGTTAGTCAAAACAAGCACACGTGATATAAATTCAACTGGAATATTTTGCAACGCTTTGCCTCATCTCCTTTAAATCAATATTTGATTGCTGTCAGAACATGTCAGATGATCTTGGCCGGAGAGCATTTACTGCGTTTGCTTAGTGATGAAAACTGCAAACAAACCTCCTCCCCCTTCTCTTGATAAGCGAGTGGTATGAAGTCATGACCTAAGAGCGCGAAACAATAAAAACAATGAGGTGAGAGCGTAAACAAGGGCCTCAAAATCCGATTTCCAATCTCATCGGGACACCCTTGTCCTTTACGGAACTTCTTTTTGGACACTATTTATGTGCAAGCTGTTCGAACAAAGGCCTGCCTCCTGCAGTGTGCGATTGTGTGTGCATGTGTATGTGTTATTGCTCAAAGGACAAAAGCTAAGAATGCAGTTGTGCAAAACTTAAATCATTATCTAATGTCTATTCGTGGTGCAAAGTGGAATTTTCCACGAGAGCTGGACCCGGATGATGTTCATAAATAAGATTTGCATGCAGGTGGTATCGCGTTCCACTACCCTCCATTTTCGACATTTCTGTGATGCGATGGAGCTTTAGCCTATCGACAGCCATCGACTGACTTCACTACTCAATTAACTATTCTATCAGTGTGTCTCTGATTCTGGTTTTCAAACAATCCCGCCACCAAATTCCCTGGGAAGCTTCTCGGGGCCTCCTGGAGTCTCGACCTGTTATCTCTCCGTCGTCTCCAGGAGCACAGTTCATCCCGAGCTGAATGCGTCCCGCCCAGCAATGTACAAACTGAAGGCTTCGTCATCAGCGAAAACAAGTGCGGAGGACAAAGAAGGCCACAATCACATGGCTCAATCTTGTTAGCGTGCCAGGAAGGCTGCGTGAGGTTATGGTGGAGGTGTGGCAGTTGGGGACAAAAAAGGGAGACTTTGTCCTCAGCCAAACATGCAGGTCCAGGTGTGGGTGTGTGTTATACGACGCACATATGTACAGTGTACCGAATGTGTTTTGACACGTGCCTGTGCAAGCGTGCGTCCATTAACGCGGCAGAGACTTTTGCCCAGGACAGAGCAGCCACAGTTACTGCACAGTCAAATCTTTGATGTCAAAGCGGAGGGCGGTGGGCATTAGCGTTGCACTGAAACGAGGTCAGATGGAGCGCTGCCACGGATGGTTTGTCAGTGTGAAATACACAAAATTCCAAAAGGTGGAGGGCTGACTTTTGGCAACCGAAGACTGATGCTTTGGTGCCTGTGTCTCCAGAGTTATGGTTTTGTTTGGATAGTTCCTGTCTAGTCTTATAAAGGATGTAAAGAGGTCAAGTGCTAATATTTGTTATTCAGCCCCTACTCATTAATTTTGCCAATTGGCTAAACTTACCTTATCGCTAACTTGAGTCGCTGCCATCACAAGGGATGCTTGGGTAGAAATTATAGCTCATTGTACTTGTTTTTTTCCTGGCACATACGAAACATCCACACTGTTGCTATTCGCTATTTTTGGACCCGTGACATAACGCCACCTTGGCTCCTCTCTTTCTCTTTCACTCGCAACTGCTAGCTAGCATGTCCGCCTCTTTGTACAACAGTCCATTGCGTAGCAGGTAGCGCGAAACCATGTGTTTCTCATTTAAACGTCACAGAGAGATATGTTGCTGCTTGTTTACGACAACGTCGTCGGTTCACTGTTTGAGCTCCAAGTCAAGCATTTGTGGGGACGATGTTAGAAAGCGTCTCGGCCTACAAAGCAATTTTCTCAGTCTCGCTTTTACTTTTGTAGACCGACCAATGTGCCCGTGCGCTAATGATAAGCGGCGGCGTTAACCACGTCGAGGTCCGTTTGCCTTTTCCCACATATGGTCTGCAAGTTGGCGGTCAGACACGCTGGCAACATATTCTTGCGGCCAGCCTCTCCCAATCAGGAGACACTCAAGCACTCGCGGCGCCAAACAGCCACCTAAATATAACCCGGCCTTGAGGTTCAGCAAGAGGCCCTCTGCATGCGGCCGGGCCACACACTCACACAGACATGGATTTATTTCAGTGGGGCCTTTCATTTCAAAAGAACCTCACAATCAATAGCGTGAACTTTGCGGCATGTGGGACGGGCACAGCTGGAAGCCCCGTCGCATTGTTTGCATCGGTGGCTGTCCGTTGATCAGGGAAATATAACCCATGCGAGAGCGAGGCCAGGAAATTTTCACATCCTGTTTTGTTGCAGATCAATTTCGAACGCACGCCGCTAACCTTCCAACAACGTTACTCTCGCGCTTTGTTCGCTTTGCCGGAAAAAGACGAGAGAACACAGCACCTCAGCTGTTACTTGTTTACGTCACAAGTGAAGATGTGAAGCGACGCAACGATGGCAAGAGTCAGCTGCACAATGGGGGGGTAATGCGGGAGGCGACGGAACGAAGTGAATTGGGGATAAGAGCCCAAAGGAAGTAGGGGGAGCTAGCGCGTCGCATAAAAGGGAAAGTTTATAAAAGAAGTAAGATAGCTGACAGGAAGATGTAGGCCTCATCCTCCCCACAATGAGTACATCTGTGCACACACACACACACACACGTTGTCAAACACTATCAAAACACCCGGAGTTGAGATGTAACAGTCTGCGGCAGACACACGTTAGTGGAAAACACATCGGTGTAAACGGGTCGAGAACACACTGTGCCGCTGCAGAACGGGTACATTTGCCGACGAACACATGCGAGCGGGCACGTACGTGGAAGAGCACACAAGTCGCTCATTAGCTCGGACTACAAACGAAGCGGTAAAGGTTTTAATCGAATGATTAAAGCTCATTTATTCATGAACGTCGTATTCCAAACTTCTTGTTTTGCCCCCGGGAGATAATCCGGCTGTGGCAGTGAGCTGGAGATAACAGAACGCCCTACATAAAGTGGCGGCTTAATGACTAACCATGGCAAACTCATTTCCCGATGGCACTAATATATTACTAATTACATATCAGATTACTTCTCAGTCAAAGACAAACAACACAGGGGTCGGGTGAAAAAAATGGAGCGACGTACCAGTGAAAGGTACCAAATAACCTTGTTTTGGGCGTCTTTGCGCTGGGAGGAGCTACAACGCGGTCTGGACAGCTGCTGAGGCTCCGTTTCATAGTGACAAAGCTGGCATTAGCCAACACCGTTTTCATATCACTGACTGGCCACGCAAAGCCGTGAGAAATGTAACATTCCTAAAGTTCATTTCACAAATGTGGCATCGTCTACGATACGGACAATGAGTCAGTCAGCGCGAGCCACACTAACTTCGCAGCTGTCGGTGGTTGGAGTGGGGAGGGGGGGGCTGTACGCAGGGGGATATTTGTGCCACAACACCTCCACCCACTTTTGGCAGCGGCCAGAGTGGGTTCCACCCATGCCTCGCATTCCTGCGCGCCGCTATATTGGCCTACTTGTGTCGAGGGGGTGGAAGCGCACATAAAACAGACAAAGGAGGTGGAGGCCGAGTAAGTTACGACTTGTACGAATCGCGCAGGAGACAAATGTTTTCTGTGCGTGCCGGTACTCACGGACGGCGCGTAATATCACGGCGACTAAACAAATAGTTCCCAGTGTGCACAACATGAACGCGCGCAATTAAGAGCGAGTGGGGAGATGCACACCACTCCATAAGGCCTCTCATATGGAAAAGATCTACAACCCTTCTCTTTTCTAATCCCCCCTTCCTGCTTTTCCAATATTTTTCAACCCCCCCGCCCGACACTGCACCCAACACGTTTGGCTTCTTAATGGCTCGCCACCACGGTTGTTTTGGGAATGTGGGGGGGGGGAAAAAAAAAACAAGAGCGTCTCTGTGAGAAGCCAGTTGAAGTGCTGACCTCTCTTAAAAGCAACAAGAGCCTCTCAGTGGGACGCAAAAGCTGCTCCGAGGGTCGGGAATGTCGCAGCGCTGCGACTCTTCGCTCTGCTGTGAAAACTCGTGCGCGGATGCTGTTTACTCACTCCGTCGTCTGCGGCATATTTCTGGTTTTATCCGAGGGTGTTGGCACTGCAGTGGTGAGAAACGAAAACTGCGGCACGCCGCTAAAAAGTCATCCCCTAACACGCGAGGCTAAAATGTCCTCAGAATACAAATTCATGGCTTTGTCGGAAATGTCAAACATGAGCCGGCGTGACCTTCGGTCGGGTCAACTAGTCAAGACACTCAAACACTGAAAGCTACCGATTCTTCAGTCAACACTTGTTTTTTTTTTTTTTTTTTTTTTGTCGGGAAAATTATGTATAATTGCAGAGAAATGATGAGGACTGTATTTGGTTTTATAACTCGCAAAGTAGCCAAATAATATCATGCCATTATGCCCCGCAGCGGCGAGAAGGTTTTTTTGGCTGCTCAACCATTTTCCGTTTTGTTGACCCGCAAAAAGTATTAACTCAACATTTTAATCGAGTTAGAATCGGCCAGTGTGATTCAGCACAAGGACAAAATGGTTCATTTTGAACACGATCGAATTAGTCAACCGCGTCAGCCATGAATCACCGTCCCAATCATTCTTGCTTCTTTTTTCCGTTTTCATCTCAAAGATGACGAACGACAAGATTCCAGGGTTTGATGTGTAATCTGCAGAAGGATTCTGGAACATGCTTGCAAGTCTTGAGAGCTGCAGTTGGTTGGCTTATTTTGGAATGTCATTAAATCTGCCATAGGAGTATTTTGTGGACGTAAAAGATGGAGCAGGGGGGGTCAGATGCTACTTGTTGGTCTGTGCTATCAAGTTCGTCTAAAATTGTGGCTTCCTGGTAAGCTTCGGTTTCAAGAGCTCTCCTGTTTGACGGCACGCCGCATTTGCATTGATGTCCTACTGTGATTCGGAAGTTTCCACTCACACTGTTGAGATTCTCGGCGGACATACAAAGTAGATACAAATGGCTGCTGGCCACAGCTGTGAGTTGCAAGGAGGACCGACAACTCTCTCGTTTCTCTGTTAGAGTGTGATGAGTATTGTGGAAATTGTAGAACTCGAAGAAAGCGACAATTTCTCACGTGCGCACTCCGAGAGAGAGTGTGTCGTGTTTCTTTATTTGCACCACAAAAAAAAAACACTCGCGCCAAACGAAGCCCGCCGAAAGTAAGTTTCCATAGAAACAAGCAGACTAAAATGGCGGTCCTTAAAGGGACTGCAATTATTTCTACCCCGTTACCAAATAGTCGTGAACTCTCTGACAAACATATGAACATTGCATTCACACATTTGCAGTTGGTGGTGAATTATGTACATAGAAGTCACTACAGTATCATGTTTGTTGGGCCCCACGAACCCCAACGGCATGGGAGAGCTAATTGTTTTTCCATCTCTTTCTCGGAGCACGAGCCAAAGGAAAGAAGCTCAACTTCGTCATACTTTTTCTCTCCTGACATCTCGGATCCTTACCAAGGAAATGTTTAATGTTTGTCCTCAAGGGTGACAGCATTGCTGGGCACCGTTGAGCGCAACGAGAACCGGCGCCGTGTCTTCGCTAGCAGATGCTCGCGTTCTAGACGAGTCTGTTGCGGACAAAGCCAGCGGTTGCCGAGGGCGGAAGCTTCCCGGTCGTCTGCCAGACCGCAGGGGGAGTCACTGACCGTGCTACAATGAAGGAAGGGTGTGAGCTCGCTTTGGGGGGGGAGAAGGAAGGTTGAGGCAGGAGGGCCTTGAGTGGGGGTGGGAAGAGGAGATAAAGCCAGACAGATGGAGCAGACAATGAGGCATAGAAACCCAAACTGCATGTCAACAATGCTCAGCCCCCTCCCTCAAGGCCTCCTTTATCCCCTCCCACCCACATGCAAAACTTTCTTTACATTCTCACTCCCGTGCCAACTTGGGAGTCAAAGTTTGCCTGTCATCGCATTTATGTTCCTTAATAACAACAAAGAAAACGTTCCAAACGGAAAGCGCCGCCTTTCAGACCCGCTCCCGATTTTGTCACATAAGAGTTTAGCGTGAATAATAAATCCTGCATCTACACCGAATAAGATTTCCTTGGCCCATGTCTGAGTGCTCTACAAAATATCCTGGGACAGCCAAAACAAAATCCTCGGTCAGAGGTAATAATGTGCCATGAAGTGCTGCTGTGACTGACACCTATAAGCAATAAAACCGCATGCATGTGTGAACGCAGAGGTGCGTCCAGGGAAATTACCTCGTCAAAGCCAGTGTGGCTCTTTGAGGGCAAGCTTTAGAGGAGACAGGAAACCAGTCAGAGAGGGGTGTTGTTCACACACACCCAAATGCACTTTCGCAAGAATACTCACTGACTCCTGAACAATATGGATCCTGTCTGAATACGATCCGCCGAACTGAGATTCAAAATACCGTACGATCCGAAAGTTGTCGCCAGCCGCGGGACGAAAACCCTTTCAAAAACTAAACATGTCCTCTTTTCTTTCCCTTTTCTGTGCGGTCCTCTCTCATATTTCCAAGTGAGCTGATTTCATCTGCTGCAATGACCCGAGTTATGAATCACAACTGAGTCATGCAGCCTGCCCAGGTCGTTTCGTTAATTACATTCCATTACAAACAGACATCTCGCATTGCGCAACCGCTATACGATCTGCCGTAGATTTTCTCTGAATCGCCTCGTGAAACGGAACCTCAAGCGGCAGGTCCATATGTGTCCGTTTAGCCTGGCGAATATAACTCCGAAAACAGCCTGGCAAATAATTCCAGGAGATATCCTGATGATGTAAATCTGTATGTACACAGCGGTTCGCGGTGGCAACCCGACAAGGAAAATGTGACGCAACATCTGCGGCCTGTATCAGTTTGTGTAAATGTACCCTCTAAAATGGTGCTAAAAAAACAAACCATGTAAGGGCTTAAGCCTGCGCAGGGGATGGTTGCATCACCTTGCCGAATGGGAACATGACTTACTATATTTACCATCCCTAATGGGCGACAGATTAGATGTCCTCCTCCTGTGCGGACACTGGACACTCGGTGGATGGATTCGTTGTGTTCAGCGACAGATTAGATGTCCTCCTCCTGTGCGGACACTCGGTGGATGGATTCGTTGTGTTCGCGGCACGGCTTACAAAACCGAGGATCATTTTGTGCGCCGGCCGAAAACACATTTGGTGCGGGAGAACATTTTGTCTATTTAAATTAGGGGTGGGCTGCACAAATGAGTGAATTCGAGCTTGAATAAAAAGCAGCAATTCGCGTGCCTGTATTTATTCGAAAAAAAAGATGGAAGCATAGAAGGCCTCTGTTCTCAGAAGAACAAAACCATACAACAAAAGACTGAAAAGGAACACCTGCCTCGCATGTTGCCTTTGGAACATGCCGCCCACCCCAAACGCACTCCTTCCCCGATGTGAAGAAATGACTTTCGTCACCATAGATACCCCAAAAGAAGTTCTCCAAAAGGGCCCTCACTAGCCTTCAAGTAGCCAAGTCCTGGTCCTTCTGCGTCACCGCCGGCAACAAGACACACACTTGTTTGGCTCGTGCTTTGCCAAGCGCCCCTTTGTGTGTTCGCTAAAGAGAATGGGGGGTAGAAAAGTGGGGAGCAGGGTGGGCAAAAGATGCTCAGCCAGAAAGAGGCCTAACATCTGCTCCTCAAAATATTCAGTTTTGTTTTTTTGGGGGGTTTTTTGTTCTTGACCTGCAGTTTAATCCCCACCTTCCTTCCGTAGCCCACCGGTCTATTGTCTATTGACTTCTCAGAGGGATACTTGTGACTATGTAAGGGAAAGTATGTTGAATGGTGTCTAGTAGTTACACACAGCACTCAATTTAGGCCACAAAAAAAAAAAAAAGCAAACTCGCAAAATTATTTTTTCCAAACGTGCCTTTCATCCAGAAACTTTCAGCATTTTCAGGTTACTAAAAATCTCGCTTTTATTGTTTGCATATAGATTCTTCTGGCTTGTATGCTTTCGGTCCAACAAAGCCTCACATTTGTCTCCAAGTCTGCTGCATGCTTGTGAGAAAAAAAAAGGCAACATAGATGTCCCAAAATCCCCATCCATCAACTCGGCGCACCACGGTTTTAATCCTGAGTGCCGCCCAGGGGACCCTTTCAAACCCACGTTTGGCCCAGTGAAGTTGTAAAAGGGCGAGCAGGTGCCTGGCGGGACACCTTTGCGGTCTTTCTGAAGGCCTCGGAGGACGCCCGGCATGTGGGTCCACTCAATAGTGAGAATAAAAGACCAGACCGTGTCACAAAGAGACACCAGCGCGGACGGGACAGCGCTCGGCGGATCACAGATCCAACGAGTCCAGCGATGTCACCAACGCCGAGGTCAAAAAGGTGAAGAAGCCTTGCATTAGACGACGGAGACAATGCAAGCAGACAGCTTATAGCCAACGGCTAGGTCGAGTAGCAGCCATGTAACACAGATATCGCCGCAAGGACAAAAGACAAGACATCAGCTCAGCCTGCCAACCCCCCCCAACCTCAGCCTCAGCGTCATCACGTGTTCACAAGACATTTCCCTCTTAATTCCGACATCTGATAAAAACAATGCGTTGGAAGGATGTTCATTCCCCAGCCAGGGAAAAGCGCGTAGCGACCGCCAACTGTAATTATATTTGCGCAGGCAGACAGCGGGACCATTGTGAGATATATTTATGTTTTTTTTTTTCTGTTATTGTTGCTGTCCTGTGGAGAGATGACCCACTTCCAAACAGCTCAGACTGTACAACGGTCTGAGCACACGCAGCGGTTTTGGGGGGGTAACATTTTGTTTGTTATGATTGAGATAGACAACCTTTGTTTAGGCGTTTCCCTGCATGTTGGGACCAATGTTCCCTGTTGGCAAATTGGAGGATTTGTCGAAAACTAAAAACACAGACAAGAGAAGGCTGTTTGATGACAAATCAAAAGGGTCTCACATTTAAGGGCTAAATCACCGAGATGGCGATTGGTTTGATCCTGAGCCGCGGAGAGCTCACATGGTCGCCATCAACAGAAAAAGACAATTCATGGGCTTCATCATGTGCATGTTGTGTTACTGCGTCATCGCGCTGCACGAACCTCAAAACAACCCCTGCGGTGTGTATCGATCAC